TCTCTCTCTTTCTCTCTCTCCCCCTCTCCTCCTGGGTTAAACTGGGACTTTCACTCCGCGAATAGCTGTTTGCCTCCGTTTTAACATTTTTTTCCCTTGTCCTCAACTCTTTCCCCACAGTGGTCATTTATGCAACACGTTTATGAACTAAACTTTTCCTTTCCCTTACCCCCTCCCCAGGGAGCCTCTTCTTTCAGTCCGTTTGTCCCTTGACCAGGGACAGGTCTTGCTGTTCGAAGTCCTCTTAGCAGAGAGGAATGTCTCCAGTGATGTTGTACTGGGGAAAATGACTTAGTTTGTTTCCCTCACGTTCTACATCCGTCAAATGAAGACTGATCCCTCTTCTCCACCATAAACGACCTCCCCCCATCCTCCAGGTCCTGACCCCGCTGGGGACTGACTATAATTGTATGGTCTCTGTAATGCCAGAAGATATTTATTTATTTATTTATGTACAAAATTTTAAATAAACTTTTTTTTTTCTTAGAGATTCCTCTGCCTCTGGGTCCCTAGGTTTAGCATGTGGGCTAGGCAGCCACAGGCATGGGCTGGCACTCTCTGCTGGGGCCTCGCAGAGGTCCAAGCACAGCTTCTCACCTTACAGCTAGCCACCGCCCTCCCCACACCTTCAGTCCCCCGTGGAGCTCCTGGGTTCTGCTCCAGCACGGTGCCCTTCCCAGTGTTCCTGTGGGGGGGGGGCCATGGTACTCCCTCATCTTCAGCAAAGGGCAGAAACCAGAGATGCGCCTCTGTTGGGCTTGTGATGACCTAGCCTTCTTTAGAGGGAGTTCGCCTCGTTTTGCTTCCAGGCAAAAGATCCTTGCAGTGGTTGGTGCACAGCTCCAGGTGAGAATTCCCACGACTTGAAGAGATCCTATTGCAGGAACTGTAGGGAGCCAGCCCCTGGGGCTCAGGGACCTCTCGTTTTGGTCAATTCTGTTAAAACAACAACAACCCACAGTTGCTACGACTAGACTCCACTCTTTAGTCTTCTTTGGAGGGACTATGTTGGGTTTTTTATGCATCTGTGTTAAATGAGGTGCATGGAGTTCCGCCGGGACGGTGAGCCCTTAGACGCTAGACACCCAGTGACAGGTATTTCTGTAGTCAGGGATTAATAAACGGGCAAACAGCGGATCCAGGGGCTACCTCCGGAAGACTTCCCATTTCTCATCTGATACCTAAGAACCTTCTTTTCCTTCCAGAAACCCGCCCTTCTGCTAACACACTCAGAAGAACCCCGAACTCGCTGTATCTAGGCAAGGCATCTGCCATGGAGAAAAGCTGGGGTTGCTCAGCGTTCGGGATGCTTCTGGTAGAGTCTTCTCATTGAAATCGGGCTCAGTGCGAGGGTCTCTCTCCAGTTTCCCGTTCATTTGCCCCTGCCTCCCACCCCCACACTCATCCATCTGGAACTTCAGTCCCACTCGGTCTAATTCCCCACCCTCCCTGAAGGAAGCAAGTTGCCAACCTAAAGGCAGGCAAAGCTCTCAGGACTAATGCTGGTAGAGTAGTGATTGACATTTCGCTGCTGGGCCGGTTGCAGGGCCTTCCTGGCTCATAGGACCACGTAGGGTGTTAATGGGTCCTTCAGCGCCTCCGTGAAACCAACCAGTGCGTCTTTGGCAAGGATTCAGGGGCGAACTGCCACAATGGCCCTCAGTGTGCAGAAGTCCGCAGTAGGTTCCAAGTACTTACTTAAAACCAGGTCTTCACCTGGTTTACCTGAATGGGTGGCTTCTGCTCAAAAGGACAGGCTGCGTGGGAGGCCGCTCCACAAGAAACTCCGTTTCAAACCTGAGGGAGAGTCGAGGTGGAGCAGGAGGCCCCTAGTCTCCACCTTATTTGGCATCAGTGAATCTTGCTCCTTCGGTTCTCAGTGAGCTGCAGAAACCCGTGCCGGTTTGCGGTGCGTCGACTCCACACCGGTTCAGTTTTCCCAGGAGCCAAGTGTCTTCCTCTGATCTCTTTCCCAGGGCTTAACTTTTCTGCTAGTCTTGGGGCCCAGAGCGCTAGGTTTTTGGCATTCTTTTGAGCGACCCTGGAACGTAGTGGGATCAGAGCGCAGCCTGCTCCTGCCAGCTCTTGGTCTGCTCCTGCCAGACCGCGGTGAAGCGCGGCGGAGGAAAATGTGGAAGCGGCTTCGGTAGCGAGGAGCAGGGCTCAACATCCTTCGGTCTGAACCACAGTGACCGGCATCCCAGGGACGCTACAGGATTCGGCTCGCACAGGCCTTCAGCCTCAGGCCTGACTACGGAAATAGTCTGTCTTTTGTAGGAACCTAGTCTCCAGACGCTGAAGTAGGGGCCAAAGCCATTCCTCCAAGCGCAGATTGGGGTTGCAAATCGCATCTAAGAGACACAATCCAGCCTTCAACCCCATGGTTTGAGCTGGAATTTGGAATTTGTAAGGCAAATTGTAAAATCAGATTCAAACCGAATGATCAAAATGAGGCTTCATGTGCATTACTGTTGAGTTGGAGAATCCGCAAACAGATCGCCACCTTTACTTAGGTGACAAAGTCCTTTTCTCAGTAGAGTTTTGTAGCTAGGAGTTTGGAGGGCTAGAATTCAGTCTTGGCTTTGTAAACTGTTTCTACCGTTCACTTCAACGGGGTGCTTGTGCTCGGTTTCTGCAAGATATTGGAGGGTTGAATTCACATGGACCGCTAAGCACGATGTCTGGCAAATTTCAGTGAGAACTGCCATTGTCGTTGTTGAGCTGAACCGATTACCAGCAGTGTCCACACCAGTGACAGGAGCATAGTTAGTGCTGAATTATTTAGGAAGTGCTGAGGTCACCAGTCAGAGGCAACGTTGACCTGAAGAATCCCAGCACATAAACCGGGTGTGGTGACAAAGCTTACCCTAATCCCGGCACAGAGGAGGTAGAAGCAAGAGTTCCAGCAGTGAATATGGGCTGCCCTTCTGCTAGGAAGCTGGGGATCATTTCAAGCACGGGTACTCTCACCACCTTCCCGTGAACCTCGCCTCGCTGATGTCTTAGTTCAGATGATTCCCTTAGGGGTGTGTTCTATTTAGGATGCTAACCTGCTTCCTTGGCCTTTACCCTTAACTGCTAGTAGATCTGTCTGTCTGTCTGTCTCACTTGTGACAGTTGAGTATTGTTTCCAAGTCTCCTGGAACGGTGAAATCTTTTCAGACTGAAAATCACTAATATGGATCTGAACTGACCTTGTTGAAGTCCCAAACAGCCAGGCTTGCACAGCCTGATTCTGAGCATTCTTCCTCCCTCTCTCTCTCTGTTCCTGTCTCAGACATGTTGGGTGCTGGACCTGCACTGTGGTGTGGGGAGTGTGGAGGAAGGGGAAAGAGATGGAGGTGGTTTTGGTGTGGGTGGAAGCAGCCCAGCAAAGGTCTCTCTTCAGGGGGAAGGTTGGGGTGATAGAAAGCTTGCTGGATGAGTGGCTGCAAGCTGTTTTCCCAGAGCGTGCATGCGGTTCAGGGCTTGAAGATGCTTGGGATTCATGAACCAAGTGCTGTCCATAGCGTCCATGAGAATTTTCAGGAAATTATTTTGGAAGTGGAGGTATGTCCCAACAAATCCCCCACCCTTGTCCCCTCTCGTCTCCTCTGTTATGGCTCTTCTTAGAGCACGTCCAGTTTTTATCAATGCTTGACAGTTTGAAGCTAAAACTCAGTTCTTTTTTTTTTTTTTTTTTTGTTAAGGTCTCTCATCTTCTCCTTAAAGACAGACACTTCTGAAAACAGGGACTGATGTTGCTCAGTGACAAAGGTATGCTGGTCATAGGAAAGGTCATGGGTTCCAACCAGAGCCATCAAAAATTCACATACACACTGGGTATGGTGGCCCAGAACTAGTTCAAGGCCAGCCTGATTGACGTGAGTTCTAAGACAGGGCTGCACAGAGAAACCCTGTCTTGAAAAGCCAAGTAAACACGATAGATAGATAGATAGATAGATAGATAGATAGATAGATAGATAGATAGACAGATAGACAGATTCACATGCACACACCTCTGCATGGGGGTTGATAGCCCTTGATTTTTTTTCTGTGAAGGCTCTAGAAGGACAGAGATGTAGAAGGGTTTTGAGCACCGGGGGCATAGGGAAAGGGGGAGAGACCTGGAAGAGCCGCAAGGACATGAAAAGAATTGTGGGTCCTAGAGGATGCTGGATGTCACTCTGGTGCCAGGCTGTGTTTCTTAGGGTCCTGTGTCTCCCACTCACAAAATCAGGGCCTGCATTTGTTTAACAGACTCTTGCAGAGCCAATTCACCCACAGACTGTATGAGCCCTTCCAATGGGGCAACATCTCACAAACCCACCTTCTCCTCAACCTCTCATGGAATAAGTTCCTACAACAGTGCTCTCTCTTGTCCCAGGCCTGAAGCATAACAGAACTCAAATATATATAATGTTTTTATGATATATAACATGATGAAGTTTACTTTATAAATTAACCAAGAGACTAGTCATTAACAACAAAAAATTTATAAGAATATGACGATAAAAGTTATTTAAAATCTGTGAATTATTTACTTCTGGAATTTTCTATATAATTTTTTTTTGCTAATGCTAATCACAGGTAATTGAGTCCAAAGTACATGAAACAGTACCAGGCAGTGGTGATGCACACTTTAATCCCAGCACTTGGGAGGCAGGTGGATCTCAGTGAGTTCAAGGCAAGCCTGGTCTACAAAATGAGTTCCAGGACAGCCAGAGATGTTACTCAGAGAAACTCTGTCTCAAAAAGCAAACAAACAAACAAATAAAAAATATAAAACAGTACATAAAAGAGTGGCTACTGTAGTAGTAGGTTTATGTGTGTGAGTAGTAGGTTTATGTTTGTGTTTTGTGTGTGTGTGTGTGTGTGTGTATTAGAGATACTAAGCCAAAATGAAGGGGTTTATATGTTGTTGTTTTCTTTTGTTTTGTTTGGTTTTGGTGGTGGTGGTGTTTTTGTCTTTCAGCTCTGGCTGTCCTGAAGCTCACTATGCTAAGCATGCTGGCCTCAAAATCTGCCCGCTTCTGCCTTCCGACTGCTGGGATTAAAGTTGTATGCCACAAAATTACTGGCACAAAATGATTAAGATTTTTAAAATATAAGAAAAACAGTTAAAAGGGGGCCGAGGCTATACCGTTGGTATAGTGTTTCCTGGCTTGCATGAAGCTCTGGTTTCCATACCCTATCTATCCCTTACAAGGCATTCACCAGGAGCAATCACAGCATTGGGGAGGTAGGGACAGGAAGATCAGAGAGTCAGTGTCACCCTTGGCTATACAGAGAGTTAGAGGCCAGCCTGAGTTACATAAAGCCCTTCCTTAAAAAATTAAAATGAAAAATAAAAACAAAAACCAACTGGTGGATCTAAGGAACCCAGGTTAATCACTCTAGTAGCAATCAGCTTGCCACTGCTTTGCCCCCCCACCCCCCGCATCCCTCTGCTGCCTTTGAAGCACCAGGGAAGGAGGAGGCTGGGGATTTCTGGCAGCAGCCTTCCAGGCTCCTTTCAGTGAGTAGGCATTCTCAGCTCAAAGGTAGAAATGCCCCTCTCAAGCCCAAACTGGGAGGCATTTAGGATTGTTTTTTATTCCTTTCTGAAAATTGTATACATATAATTCACTTAGATCCTATCAACCCCCCATTTCCCTCCTCTTAGCCTATTCTCCTCTCAACTGTATATCCCCGTTCACAGCCTGCTGAGTCCAACTGGTGTTATTGTTATATGTGTGTGAAGGGGGAGGGTGTTAAAGGTCGACGGGGCACTTGTGTTTTGGCATACATTCAGGGCTATGGTAGGTAAGGAAGATATGGCCTCAAGAGTCCTGCCTGCCCTGTCCCCATGGTCAGACTGGGCCCAAGTTTATAGTCAGCTAGCATTTACTCTGGGGATCCTTGTAGGAAGGAGTTTCTTCTGCTGGTCCTGTTGGGCCGGACTGCCCGGTAAAGATACAGACACACTCAGAAAAGGCACAGGGAAAGCTGGGTACCCCTGATATCCCAGCACTGGGAAGGCAGCAGGTTTAGAAGATCAGGATTTCCAAACTAGCCATAGTAAAACTCCATCTTAATTAAAAACAAAAACAAAAGCACACGGAACGGGTAACGCGTACAAACCAAAGAGGAGGCCTTGGAGAGACTCACTACTACCATCTTGGCCTTGGATTTCAGCTTCAAGAACTGTGAGACAGGTTGGGCAGTGGTGGCGCATGCCTTTAATCCCAGCACTTGGGAGGCAGAGGCAGGTGGATCTCTGTGAGTTCAAGGCCAGCCTGGTCTATGAAGCGAGATAGTCGGAACTGTTACGCAGATTACACACAGAGAGAGACCCTGTCTTGGAAAACCGAAAACCAAAAACTATGAGACATTAAGTGTCCCTCTTTTAAGATGCTTGGTCTGTGGTCTTTTGTTCAGGTGGCCCTAGGTGAGTCATACAAACTCCAGGCTATGTGACCAACTTCAGTTTTGTCCTTGTTTCTCTGCTCAGCATCCACTTCCCTTAGATCCTTATACCTACATTATGTTCTGTCAAATGCACATTAAAATCTTGCTGGGAGGAGATGGCACAGGCTTTTAATCCCAGCACCTGAGAAGCAGAGGCAGGAGGATCTTTGGGTTCAAGGTGAATGTGATCTATAAAGCAAACTCCAAGACAGCCAGGGCTACACAGAGAAACCCTGCCTCAAAAAGCAAAACGAAACAAATCTCTTCCAGAAAAGAACATCTACTGAAATAGACTCTTTGGCCTTGTGGGACATCACTACCAAATCAAATGGAGCCTAGATATTAGCTGACCATCTCCCCTGCTGCTCAGGCCTAGGAACTGATGTGGGCCCAGCTATCTGGATCTTTCCCCCCAGCAGTCTGAAGCAAGAGAGGAGTAACTCAAAGGTGCATGCCATGTACCAACTGTTCCCTAGTGAGCCTCCACATAATGGCGAATGACCAATGATAAAGTCATTGTCCTAACAGACACCTCAGAGATGGCCGTTAGCTGGATAATGGCCCATAACAGAGACCTTGCCTAGACCCGCTCTCCTTCTGCTGGCT